GCTTTTCATCCAAAAGAATTCAACTGTTCACATTACAGTCAGGAGAATTGAAGTTCTTCAAAAGATGATGACTACAAGGGGTACGAATTGGGTACAACGATATCATTTGGCATTCCTCATCATGTGCCAGATATCTGTAATGAGTGCCAAAAAACTAGTGGAAATTGTGGCATTGGGTTGAAATGCATATGCCACCCTAAAGATTGTAGTAAGTTTCATCGTCTATGATCTCTCGAATATTTGATTTTTAGTCTGTTTTCTTGTTCATCCAGTTTTTAATGGTTTTAATGTTGATTTCGCATAAGACAAGGTAATATCAATGGCAGGATCAAATAAGCTCAATGTCAATATCCTCTTATCTGCACTTCCTTAATCTCTATGTCCTTCTTGATGCAAGATGACTTAAAACTGTACAAACCTGTTCTTGAGTTCTTTTCACTTTCCTGTTGTAGTAAAGATCTACCTGCCTCTCCATACCCTTCCTCTCTCAAGTTTACATTGCGCCTAATCATGGCATTTCCCATGAATGCATAATTCTAGATGGGGCATCACGAAACGGACAAGGGGAACCACCTTAAGATAAAATTTAATTCAGGAGGTGACTGGAAGAAAAGGAGATGACTAATGATGTAACAAATCCAACATTAAAGTCATGCTTAGTGATAAGGTGACCGCAGTGATAAAGATACAGACCATGTAGCTGGCCCCAAACGTCAAAAATAGCTGTAGGTGCAACTTGCAAAGGCACACATGGACAAGTTGCCAAAACAACATTAGTCATGATTAAGCTGGTGCCTGGTGCTGTCAGAACTATCGAAAGAACAACTTGAAATTAATCCATCCAACAAAAAGAAACCAGCCTTAAACTGTGCATAGAAAATACCTCAAGCATATATGCACAGATATGTTGAGATCTGTGTCCGACTCTTATGGAAATGCAACAGCATGTTGTAGTACTGCGTACATATGGGAGCAGAGCAGCCCTCTCTGTACCTTGCATAGGTGAATGATACTTAAGAATGACTGAGCAATATCTTGCTGGGGGCAATAATTTGGAAGACATGAGAGGCATGTAGTGATGCATGGACTTGTGTCGGACAATATTTATCCGTTCTTGCTATCCTCTCCGGAGAAATCACAAGATATATAGCAGCGTATTTACCATGCTTTTATCTAAAGGATTTTATTTTATTTTATTTTATTTTTGGCTTTTCGATTAGTTTGTAAATGATATAGTTCTTCTATAAATAATGAATTAAAACATGAATTATAAACTAAACCCTAATGTTGTTTCTGTATTAATTTGAGTCATCTTGGAGAAAACAAATAAAAACCCTCGACTAAATCCAAATAAAAATATATTTTGAATAATGAAATATTACTGATCAAGACTTTTCGGATTTCAATATAACTTGCAAAACAATCTGCCTACGAATTAATTGTATAAGAAAATGAGAAGGAAAAGAAATAATATTTGTTCCCAGAGCAACGCCAGATCGTTTTACTAACATTAAATATTAACCAATAAACGACCATTGTTTTCGAGGAAAGAACAATATTTAGCATTCCATGGGCCCAATATTGCTCTAATCTGGACTTGCAAGCCTACCTGCACATGAATTCTTCGATTTAGTTAGCCGTTCTCCCAACAAATAATAGGTTCAAGCCCACCTGCCTAAGAAAAAAGGGCCTCCCTGCTCTTAAGTTTTCAATCACGCCTAACAAGGGTGCGGTAGGGATGATTATTTCTTATTTAATTTATTTTTTATTTAAAATAATAATTAAATTAGATTTAAAAAAAAAACTAAAACAAAACCAAAACCAAAATTGGTTTAAACTAACCAAAACTAGTTTAAACTGATTGGTTTCACTTCGGTTATTTTAGAACAAAAACTGAAACTCAACCGACTTATTTTTATTCGTTTCGGTTTAGTTTAGTTATTTTATATTAAAAATCAAAAACTTTATTGTTTTTGGGTTTTTTTTGTGATTTTCAATAGGTTTGATTTCGATTTGGCTTGATTTTTTTCATTTAACTTTATAGATTTTTTCAATTCGATTTTGTTTAGTTTGGCTTATTAAACAGATACCAAACCAAACAAAACTGGTGGTTTTTTAAATATTTTAATTAATTTAATCAGTTTTTTTATAATTAGATTTTTTTAATTACTTTTTATTTTTTTAATTTAATTTATTTTTTTAATTTTTTTCTCACCCGGAATTCCTTTGACTAAGAGTACGGTTCTATTTAAAAAAAAATATTTTGTAAGTTAAGTAATTTAAAAAAAAAACATACGGCATCGTTTACGAGAGTGAACCGTAAGTCTCAAGAAAAGGCATCGTACTGCATTCTAACAATACTAGGGAAGCCACTCAGTGCACTTGCAGCATTAAAGTGGATGGCCTTTGAAACAGGAAATACGGTGGCTTTCGAGAGAGAGAAAATGCCTGGCAATTGCCCAAAGACAGGTGATGTGGTCTTCAGTTCTACGGATGATAGAGTTATGACATGAACCAACAGTATAGACCCACACAGTGCCATGTCATGGATTGACCGGCACTCTATTCGGTAAAAGTTTTCCTTGCCAGAATGGCAGAATGCATGCTCTTAATGATTATATATGCAAGCACCCAAAGTTACAATTCAAGAAAGCATATCTTAAGTTCATGCACGCCCCCACCCCTTTTTGTTTTTCAATTACGTGCCCATGATGATTTCCAGTTTTATGTCAAGAATTTGGACAAAATGAGAGAAATTTTGCCAAATATTGACTGGGATTTTATTTGGATCTCGTTTTGTGCCGGTGTGCCTAACAGTATTGAATCTGAATGGCAGTTTTTGGCTAAGTTGACGGTCCCTCAAGAAACCGTAGTGGGGGTGTCAATTTCTGCTCTTTGGTTTTTGCAAGTGCCCACAAGATTGACAGCTTTAACCGACTTTACTTTTTTTTTTTTTTTTTTTGAGGTACGTAGAATGTCCGGGTCAACTTGCACGTACCATGACTAATCCCCACGGTCCACTGAAGATTCTGCAAATTTAGTAGACATGTAAGACACCACGGGAATAACAAGCATGCACGTCAGAGCTTGAACCTATGATAATAAAAAAAGACAAGCTCCTTCCACTACTAAACCAAGCCCTCGTTGGCAATCAAATGGAGACAGACATTAAATTCTCGCATGCCTGATGTCATGACCACATAGTGCTCTGAGATGCCCCGTAAACAGTATTGGAATTTAATTTCAGAAGGACAATGTGATGTCGTTAAGAAATTTAAGAGGAATCGGACCTTCCTTGTAACTAAAAAACAAGAAGAAACAACCTCGCCGGGGAATAGGAGAAACTTGTTGGAAGCAACATGAAGATGATGGATTTCACAAAGCAAATCTGACCTAGCTAGCTACCATTCTCGTCTTCACAAACCTTTCCCTTTACCAGTCCCCTTTCCTCTCCTTTTTGCTTTACCAGTCCGTTTCTAGACGTGTCTATGTGTTATGATGTTCTCTCTTTTTTTCATAAAACACTTTTATGTCAGTAAAATATTAAGAGATACCCAAAGTGCCTTATGGATCACGGTTGTGCGGTAAAAGATCCTCACCTCCTCTGACTCTGTAATCAAGGAGTGATGTACTGAAAAATGTCCAAGAGTTGTGCGAAATCCACTGTCATGAAAATGGAACTTCGCCTGTCCAAACAAAGACAACGGTTTTAATGGCAGGCCAAATGGTAATACGAGGGGAACATTGAGGTATAAGTGAAGACAAATCAAGCATTGAAGTCTTGGTACCCTGTTTGGAACAAATACAAGCTTGGATGTTCCAATTAATTGAATTATGATGTCGAAAGCTTGGATTGAATTTGTGGGGCAAAGTTCTTCTGTATCAAATTGAATTGAGTTGAGTTGACTCGTGTCTAAAGATCACAAGCTTGTTCCAACTTGGCTTAATTGCACGGCGCCAGCTTTAATTGCCCCTGCATTTATACTGCAAAAATGTGGATCCCAGCCCATAAAATTCAGAGAGGTGAGAATGAATTTCTCAGTCTAATTTTGACTCTTGAAAAAAGCATAATTCCTACTTGAAGTTAAAAGCATAGCAATCTGTGATGTTGTCAAATGAACCCATAGTATTGTCCTCGTACGCTTACAAGTAACGACATAAGCAGTAACAGGAGAACGCTGTCCGATGTCAGACATTTACACCTTGGGGTCTTCAAGTAAACAGGAGAACAGAGAGAAGACCAATCAGTTATGTGCTGCATAACCACAGCAATTAGCGTTAATGATATCTTGGGAACGTTCCGAGAGATGTGCTAATGGTTTATATTTGGGATTTCTAATGTTTACCCCTCGAATTTCAAATCCTAAAGGATGAGATGGCGATTTAGGATGAAGACTGTACGAGGAAAGATAGCGCAAGATTTGTTCGGCGTCCCGTTAATTTTCATCGATGCAACTTGCTGGTTGATCATCCGAAAAATCATTTGAAAGCTATATAGAATATCATAACACGTGAATTAAAGAAACATTATGTTGTAAACAAGTATGATCTCCATTTATGTTGTGAATTGATCTTTTACAGAGAAAGCAAGGATCCACGGCATGTCTTAAGGCCATGGTTACGAGAATTTACATGGAGTTCGACTTGGTTCAAGACTTGGATTGAGGTCAATCCATGACCTTAGGAAAAATCACCAGCATAAACACAAAACAATTTTCTTAAACTTTAAAAAAAGGGGAAATCCATAAATGGTAAAAATGTACGAATCAATATCATGATATTCAACTTTATTTTATCATTTTAAGGCCAAAAAAGCAATCTTCATCGCTATTCTTCACAATCTCCTTAGTGACCTTGCTTTTTGTCTCCCCTTTTAGCTAATTCGAACCTTCCCATTCACTAGCACTTCAAATTGCAGATATCATATAATTTGGTCTATGCCATCCTTAGCCTAGAGAAAAGAAGAAAAATCGGTCTAAAAAAACACAGAAAGAGAGACGGACAGATAAAATTAAGAACCAACTAGTTAGATTTTTATATCTGAATTTCACATTTCTGCTTCTGAACAACTAAAATTATTTCTTATATGATCACAAGAATTCAAGTATCTATGCCTTTCAAGATGAAAGGAAAACCAACACAAAAAAAAATAAAGCATCGATGAAGTTAGTGAAATTTCCTTCAAGGGCTCTTACTGGCATAAATCAACAAAGAGAATTCAACTCTTTCTTGATCTTTCTGCACTAACTTCTCCTCCAACCACAGTCTGCTATCCATTCCACTTCTTGTCCTGAACATGAAAACAGCATAGCCAGAACCAGGATTATAGAACCAGTCATGGACATCCCACAACAGATCAACAAGCAATCCATCAAGAAAAATTGTCTGGTTGCCTCTAAAATTCCATTGCAGCCTCTTTACACGAATCACTGTCTTCTTATCAATACATACAGATAAAACTGGATGCTTCGAGCCTTCATTTTCTCCACTACATCTGATCACAATGTCATGTTGAATTCCTGTGTCACAAAACTGTGCCTTCGTAGCATATAAAGTATTGCCTGAACAATGCTCTTGCCTTGAAATAAGAGTGACTTTAGCAATTGGGGTGCTGCTAGTTTTGAACTTCTTGGTCAAAGTTTCTTCTCCTACATCACCCAGAATCAGGCCTATTTCTGAATCAACCATGACCAGGACATAAAACCCTTCAACAGGTTCAGGTCCTAACCCATATTTAGCAGAAGAAAGATCCCAGAAGACTTCGATCTTTACAGTATCAGATTCAATCAATTTGTTGCCTTTCATCTTTCTAAAGAGCCTGGTATGTGTACTGAGTTTGAAAGAAGTTGAAGGGTCAGTGCCAAATTTAATGCTGAGGCCTTGAGTAGTGTGGTTTTTGCACCAAGACACTTTGGCCAAGAGTTGTTTTTCCGTTGAGAGGATGATTTTATATAAGCAAGAGACTGCATTTTGGACAGATGGGGTTAGGCTTGGAGAGATACAAGCATTGTTTGAATAACTAGAACATGAAGAATGAGAGACTTGTATGGCATTTTCACTAAAACAAGAAACTATATCTCTCATTGTGAAGAACAAGAACAATTCTTTCGATGAAGATATGGAATAAACTTCGATTGGGTTCTTCAATATGGAGAGAGATAGGGAGGGGGAGAGAGATCTGAGATTTAAGAGAGATGGGAGTTTCTTTCTTGGCTTGTGGTAAGAAGAAAATGTTTGTTTAAAAGCTGACCAGGGTAGGTGCTTTTTTGAACTCTCTTTTTAATTTTTTTTTACAAGGAAAATTCGTTTTACAAGGATAGAGATATGGAAAGGCAGGCAAGAAAACCTTTAAGAAAGGAAAAAGAAAGGAGAGTTTTTTTTTTATTATTATTAAAAAAGACGAAGAAGAAGAAGAAGATTGAGGCAGAAACCTTCATGGTTTCTTTGTTTAATCACTTTTGCCAGTTCATATTTATATAAAAAAAATATATAATAATAAGTAAATAAGAAAAGGAGAAAGAGGGCAAAGGCATAAAAGAGGTTGGACCTGGACCTGGTCTGAATGCCAGCATCATTTGCGAGTCTAGGAAGCGATCATGGTTTGCCCTCAACTCCATTCCTAGGCTTTAACGAGTGATATAAAGAGAAAGGAATAATTAAAAGAGATAAATTAGCGAGGGATTTTAATATTAATCATGATTTTTTTAACTAGGATTAATATTTTGAATAACGAAAGACCAATCAGTTATCATTTGTGGGATTCAAATCTTAATATTAATCAAGTGATATATCAATTTGCATGAAAATATTTATTTATAAATATATTTAATTGATTACTACTAATTACAGAAGGGGAAGGGAGATTAATCATAAATTTACAATAAAACATCTTGGGTATTATGTGATGGAACAATACTTGTGGGTCAGTTTCTGCTAGAGAAATAAATTGTCTGGATAGCCAATGACCCACCACCAACTGCTACTCCCAACTCACCTCTGACTAGTTTAAAAGCAAGGGATAATGAAAATGGAAAGCAAGAGAGTATTTGTGGGATAATTAGTGATGATATTGCATGCTATAAGATTGTTATTTATTTTTTGAAATTTATTTTTAATATGATATAAAAATAATAAAAAATTAATTTAAAAAGAAAAACAGAAGACAAAAGAGGAAGCATGCTTTTGTGCTATGGACCACAGGATGGTCTTGTCCTACAGCAGGGGCATGTTCCCTTATCATGACAAGCAAACTGTTGTGTTGAAGGATGTTGAATCTGCTCTTCAAGGAAGGTTACAAAGGATCTTTTTCTCTTTTTTTTTTAATTATTGTTATTATTATTTTAGTGTCTAGCATCCCATCAAGGCATTAGCGATTTTATGATTTCTGTTCCTTGTGTTTTTTCCCCCATTGGCTAGACTATACACTAAAAGGTAATTTTTTTTTTCTCACCCCTTTTAATTTCAGGTGATGATTGACTTAGGCCTTAAGTTTGTTAAGGTGAGATGATCAAGTGACGGCTCCTACCACATCAGAAAACACCCATCATGTTTAATTATTGAAAATTTTTATGGTCCTACTACCACATCAAGTTTCTATTTTAATTTTTATGGTCCTGAACACATGGGAAAAGGCTTGTCGATTGGTTAGTAGTGCCCAAAGCTGATTGATCCATCATCATTAACTAGTAATCCATGCGCGGGTAAGGCTTTGAATCTCTCTGTAAGTCACAACTTTATTCCTGGTTTGGTTACCGAAAAAGATGAATTCCAAATTTCTTTTATAGCATTAATCCCAGCATTAGGTAGCTGTCGAAGCACCTAAAAACGTCGGGAAACGTGAGAGTGACAACCATGAAGAACACAAAATCCCACTGGGATGGAGTTCTTCTCTTTTGGCTTTACGTGTTTCCAAGAAATCCCCACCAACCCAGATCACCATTTGCATGGAAAGGTTAATCATTTGGGTTTTGAACCATAATTTACAGCAATGGAAAGGCTAATCTATTGGGGTTTGAGCTATAATTTACAGCAACGCGTAGAATTTAATCAGAACGCAGTTGGGAGTTGGTGCCACATCAAATTCACATGAACTACTTTTTTTCTCTTTATTTACATGCCCATTAGTGCTTTGAGATTGGCTTACACTTTAAGAAGCTTCACAGAAATCATACAGCAATAATGAAGGGAATTTTTTAAGAACAATTGGCTTGTAGCCTGCTCATTGATTAGTTAGTTATAGGGAGTGAAACAACAGTACATGAATCTATTCTTGTCAGGAAAGGAAGTGTCATATCATGCTTGTTGCAACTTGCAGAATATAGAGCCAACTGTTTTCTGAAAGCCTTGTAATGTGCGAGCCTGAGAGATTGGAGGGTTGAAGAGAACATGATGCCGAGGAAAGTTTCAGAATAGAAGGGAATATATTTGTGGCTGTTTGGCTATACCAAATTCCTGCTAATATCACTAGATGTTGTCCTCTTGTATATACAATCTGTTCGCACATAAAATGGGCATGGAGAGGCTTATAATTTTTTTACTATACAGTTGCCAGTAACTAGCAATGCTCATGAAAATGGAGTCAGAACTGAACAACATAGCATAAATCTTTGTATAGCAACTGATAAAGTTGTTGCTGTCTCATATTTGACTGTACTGCTCAACTGCAAACAACTCCCTAAAACAGAGGGGTGATAAGCTTAATCTAACAACACCGAGAGCTGACTTCTACGCAATTTGCTTCCTGGTCATCATGACAAGAAGCTGCTAATAAAAAATTGTGCTGTGAGCTTTGATCCCAAAACCCTAGTAATAAACAAGAAAAGTGTCAGTAACTTGAACGCTTTCCCTCTTCCTTCTCTGCATTATCTTATTCACACCTCCACAGCCTCTCATTTATTATTTCCCTCTTCTAAATCATCACATGACATGCGATTTTATTTCTCCAAGCTAATTTACATTAAAAATAACGGATATAATAATAGAGAAGGAAATTTGTATTTTAGTAGCATCATGTGGGAACAGAGAATCCGATAGCTTTGTTGTTTCTGGGAAGTTGTTAAAGGTCCACTTCCTGTTAACATCAATCATGAACTAGAACCAACGAAAGTGTCACTTCCTATTCCATATTAATTTTTTGCCCCAGTTTTTTGATGTCATTATTGGATTCTTCACAGTTACAAAACTCAGAAAAACATCGTTTTAAATTTAAATCAAATAATATTATTAAAAAAATCAAATTAGATTTTAAATTAATTTCCATATAGTATTTTTAAACTCTAGTATAGCATAGGCTAAATTCCGCATCAACTTTCTAGCCAAGTTTAATAACTCTGGATTAGTCAACTCTAATGTCATATCAATGTACAGGGATGATTGCTTGAAATGAAATAACGCATTTGAACACTTCTTACAGCCACGTTAATAGAGAATACTTCTCAACGCAAATGCAGCAAATTGTGCCTCGTGGACTCATTTAAGAGCTAGCTTTCCATTCTTTCTCGCCATCTCCACAGGATACATCAACATCTGCTAAAGTACCGCAATCTAACTTTTACTTAACGAGCTTTAGAAAGTTGGTGGTGACTTCAAATTATTGACCTTGAACACAAGACAATAATTGCCACATGAACTGATAAACCTTGAAAAAGGAAAAAAAAAATTTGCCCAGGAAGAATACCATGGTACAACAGAACAATAAGACACCAATTGCTCTCCATGTAAAGTAGAATGTGATGAATCTTAGAAAAACTTGCTTGGACCTGTATTCTCTTCGTAGATGATATACTATTAGACATATATAGCCATTCGTCTAAATGTATTTTCCTGTCAGACTCACAAACAAAAATGATTCATCAAGAAAACTTTCATAGATGATATATAGTTTTTCAATGAGTTTATTAATAATAATTTTATCACGACTTTACTGATATAAAAACATATTTAAAAAAATTATTTATTTTATTTTGTCAATACTTTTTCAATGAATATAAGATATCATTGATATAAAAAATAAATATCATTTTATTAGTAATTTTTTTATTCGCTAGCATTTTCTTCGGTGAATTTAACAAATATAGTCATTAAAAAAATTATTTATTATTTTATTAGTAAGTAAAAAGTGATAATAGTATTTGCAGTAATTGTTTTTCCAACTCTCTAAAATATATTGATTTACTTAAGTCGTCGGTAACTTTATATGTAATAATTTAGAATTTTTTTAAAAATATACATCTATTAAACAAAAATAAAAAATTAGTGATATTTACAGTAATTCGTTTTTAACTCTCTAAAACATACCAACTAACTAACCTCCTCATCAGTAATAATTTAAAAATATTTTTGAAAATAATTAATATTAAAAAAATAGAAATTAATTAAAATGAATTAAATTAATATAAAAATCAAATATTTATTATAAATTTAAATATTTATAAGTTCAAATACAATTAATCTATAATAAAGACATTGAAAAAGAAGAAGGGGATAAGTCTTCGCCTGGACCGTGAGGCGAATAAAAAGAAGCACGTATACCCCTCATCAGTGATCTCATCTTCATTATCAATCGGCAAACTTTAATCGTCTCAGCACCGAGTTGTTCATAGTCAGTAGCAGAATAGATCATCTGAACTTACACTCATTGATTTAAAATCAGCTCATCATGTACATAATGTCGAGATCTTCTAAATGTCATCCTATAAAGCGGTGTCTGATAGCTGTACAATCTCATATACGTCACCTGAATAGTACAAGAGGAGTCCACACACTAGAAGATGTTGCATGCACAAGCAAGTTTTTTTAAATAATATATATATTAATTACAATAATGTTCCTCAATAATCTTTAAATTTATAATAAAATTAATATTAAATGATTAAAAATTTATTGTGAGAGAATTGTGTTGATTTTATTTTAAAAAATCAAAGTAATTATATTATTTTAAGAAAAAATGACAAGATCAAAAAGCCCTCAAATTAAAGGCAAAACATTTTTTTATTCGAAGATTAAAGTAGTCATTTTCCGGCGGCAAAACAAAAACAAAATGACAAATTTAACTCTGTATAATGTATTAAAGGTTATTATATTACAGTAAAAATATTGATTTGTCCCTGTGCCTATATCAATGGTTTTTCTGTTCAAAGATAACTTCATAATTATAACATTACAATAAATAGTGTCATGAGTCTTGTGGAAAGTAACTTCTTGTGTAAAATTAGTTTTACTATTCTTGTGAATTGCAGGGACGTCAGCAGGTAAGCCCCAACTGCTTTAGAATTTGAATACTGCGCATTTCACAAGAGTTGCTGTCACTCCATGCAAGCATAGAACATTTCAGATGAACCCTA